TAATTAAAGCTATTTAACCTATAGATATATAGCTAAATTTAATAGCTAGCCGGATTCAGTAGTTAGTACTACCTAAGAGGGGTAAGTTTATAAGCCTGCTAAAAAGGTGGGGCGGGCACGAGTATATTATATGTTCATCCATCTTTCGGGACTGGCACAGAATCTGGGCATGCGATAGCGAATTCAGGGATAGCCCCACAGAACCTTCTAGTTCCCAATTGTAGGCTGTCCCATTTGGTAGGCTATCCTATTGTAGGCTGGCCTATTAGGAAGGCTGTCCCATTATAGGCTGTCCCGTTGTAGGCTGTCCTATGGTAGGCTGTCGCCCATGCATTGCTTCAACGTTCTTCCAGGGCAAACCGTTATATATATAACGAAACATTTAGAAGATTCAACTAAACCTATCATTACTTCATTCTATTTTGGTAGGCCGCCTACTTTCTTTCATTGTTTCAATTCCCTGTGGTGAGAGTGATGAGAGTATATAGCATTCAGTCACGGATACGGGTGAGAGAATGAGAGTATAAGGTTAAAAACAACAATGAAAGATGTCAGACCCGACTTCTGAACACATGAATAAGAATAGCATTCAGTTACTTACTTGGCTCATTGGTACCTCTGCGAATCTGCCTTGTAATACATCGCTGCTTACTTTACCCCGCTCCATCCGCTCCATTTAATTGTCCCAATGTGGGTGATGAGCTGGCAACCAGAGATCCCAATTTTGATTCCTTGTATTTCATCCTGTGCTCTGCTCTGGCATCCCTTGGACTTTGCAAACACTTTATGCGGAGCGCGGCGTGTTACTCTGCTCTACCCCTCGGCCGACCTAGGATATTCAAACCACTTTTCCTGAGTATCCTCGCGACTCAGGTTCTAAATGGGCCATCCGATCTTCGGCCCAACCGGCGGCCAATTAGCCCCAGAAGAGGAGCTGGATACTCACCCTGTTGTGGCATCGGATCTCCCAACGCCTGAGACAATCAATCGCGTCCCACCCGAGCCCGAGGAGAAAAAGGTTCAAACCCCCATGTATATACTCCAACATGAGATGCTGACTCCAGGCAAAGGGATATGCCGGCGCGCTTGTACGAGCCATCAAAGGTATACCACCTTACATATGGGTTGTAAATGAACACGATGAGGACATCAGCGTGGTAGTCTCCCAGTTTCGCCCAAACCGTTTGCTGACAGGAGGGGAACTCAACGCCTCCGCAACGGGCGGTGGACTAAGCCTCAGCACTGCGGTAGATACAATACGGCTGCCCTTCCGCCAGTACCCCTGAAGTTACCGACACTGATTGGTTTATTTGTAGACTTTTCTCACGCCCGCTACCAGGAAGACACTTCCCCCGCAAAAGCAGGATCCTGAGGGATCTATTGGACTTTTTCCCCTTTGGACAAGCAAAAATGGATTCGGTGTCATCAGTATCTTCACCGGCCCCGAAAAGACATTGTTCATTGAAAATGACCAGGTGCTAGCCGGCTGCAAGGTGCATTTCAACAATAAACCGAACCTAAAGGTTGTGGCGTATGATGAACATCAGACTAAATCAGCTTAATGCTTTGAGGGATTGAGAACGTTGGGCTAGGGTGTCTACGCGCATGGTGAAGCGCCCGATGCCATCAGATTGAAGTCGAGCCCGTCAAAGATCAAGGATTAGAGGTGTAGCGTTGAAGCCTTCAATCAATCAAATTCTACCTAGTTTGAAAACGTCTATATCAGTCTATACAGAGACGTCCTGCTACCCTCACGTGTTTACAGCTTGAGGCAGTCCACTCACATTTGTTTTCCTACAATTCCGATACATGAAACTTGATCTCAAGCTAGCCTTGTCTGGCCCTTTACTCCTGAAAATCGGGAAGTACCATCCATAGAATGTGGAAGGTTCAACGACAGATCTGACTTAGCGTTTCCGAGCGATGTCATACAGAAGTTCTGGACTTCAGCTGAAAGAATAATCGGCGGATCCCGTATGATAGATAAGCACGTCGCCGACTCTCGGGTGGAACGTTGCGAGCCCCCCCAGAACCAAGATTCTCCATTAGCTCCCTCAAGGCCGAGATGTCATTGGTGTCTCGGGGAGTATCTGAACTGGTTGTGAGCCCGCGAAGATCGATGGGGCCATCTGTGACCACGAGTACGAGTGTTTCGGGCATCTGTTTCGCTTTCGGCACCCCATCTGGCCAGCTCATCTCAGACCCAACTAATCGGCACATGAAATCTATTTCGCCATACGTATAAACCCCATCTTCACCTATCTCATGGCCAATAGGGCTCCCGTCTGAAAGTAATGTGACCGATTCGGCGCAGATATCGAATATGGACACCCACAATTTTGACTTGCCGATATTGCGAATTTTGAGATATAGGTTTTCTCCCTCCTCCACGGTCACAATTTCCGTTGAGAATGGCTGGGTCTTGCCATTGATAACTATGCCCCATTCTATATCAATTTGTTGCGAAACTGAGTCCACTTGTGTATTTCCTTGCATTGACAAGAGGTGCCGAGAGCGAGCTAGTGACTCTAATATCGACACGCTCTTGTTTATCCAAGAATTCAAGTTTTTCCCTTCCAGGTTGTCAAGTTGCCACTCCGCTAGCAAGACTGTAGCATCTCCTCCATCGCCACAACCCTCATGGCTGCGAATTAATAGCTTAGAGTTGCTTGCTTCTATAGTGGCTAAGGTAGGATCTTCATCCGTAGCGGAAACGCGGAGGAACCTGGAGTTCTGGAGAGAAAGTCGAATCTGATCGGCGTATTCATTAGAACAACGCAATGCGACCGCCATTTTCCCTAGACCTTTGTCCTTCGGGAATGCTTTGACCCCGTCATCAAAGGAAGATAGTGGGTGACCCGTGAAGGAACCTAGTGATCTTATAGGTCCAACCTGATCGACAACAACCTCTGCAATTTGCTTCCCCGGATCCAATCGTTCTTCACCGAATGGCATCACGCCATACACGTCTTTTTCCTTCAACCCATGGAGATGTCCACCATGTAGCATCGGACTCCCACTATAAAATGAGATAGGTATAGCACCATGCGGGTTGGTCTTTTCCAGGCTGAATGCAAATCGTAGGTCGTCACCTTCAATCTGGGGAGATTGGGATGGGCAGTTGAGTTTCAAACGATCTTCGATTCGAAGCATGATGCTTCTCCATGAGACCCTAGAGTTCTGTTCACTCTCTCCTGGAAGGGCTTTGTCGAGAGCTTCTACCAAGACACTCATCTGGATAATGCTGTTAGAGACTTGGAAGCTCCTTTCGTAAGCACTATCAGTCTCAGCGGCTGCGACCACACAGATGGCTTTTGGGTTTCTTTCATGGTGGAAATTCACATCGAATTGGCCCTCATCCATCATTTTGGCAATGTGCTTGAGAATCTCAGGATAATCATTGGGATCGATGGACTTGACTATCCCTGGCGCCCTTGCCATACGGGTTGAGTGGCAACAATCCAATATGAGGGTCACATTGTCCGTCTTCTTGGTCGCCCGGTAGAGCAACTTCGATAGCTCTAGATCCGAGATTCCCCTCCAATCATCCTCTTTCGACTCTCCAAAGTCGACTGGGATGAGGTACAGCAGACGTCGGCGGCCTTTCTCGGAAGTTGCCTCGGAATCCCTTTCGGCTATGCCTCCATGGCCAGAGTAATAAATGACCAAGGCATCCTCTTGAGAGGTTTTCCCAACGATGTCTTCCCAGGCTGCAAGGATCTGGGCCTTTGTCGCTGGAAAGCATCTTGCACTTGTGAACCCATACCTGCCCAAGATGTTTTCCATTTTATCCAGATCATTTCCGACACCACGGAGACTCCCAGTGGGACAGCCGATCAGTAGAGCGCGTTTTTGGACGGAGGGTGTTTGCTTGGACATTATCGGTATGAAAGACTTTGCTCAGTTCGATGTTGGGTAGTTCTGTTCTTTGGCCAGTACATGAGACTCGCACAATAGATGCTGTGGGCAAACTTATGCCACTATTTATGGCTTCTATGCTCAGACAACTTGAATCACTTCTTTTCTGAATATTCAGTATTGGGAGGTCTGCTGGCTGGTTGCAATATCCTTTCCCGCGCCTATAGCGAGCGCTCCTAGCCAAAGGCAGCTAGTACAGAGCATGCAATATCTATAAATGAGAATAGCCAATTACACTGTGCCACGCCTAAATTATAAACGCCGAAAAAGGGACTGTGAATCCTTCTAGTGTCAGCCACGAAATGGTAGCTGAACCTTAGAGGGAAGTAGGATAGCTGAGTGACGCAGCCAAGAAAAAATATAGGAAGTTTCTACACACCAAGTTCTTCGGGTGGCGTGTCTGGCTTAGCGCTCTCAGGGATCACAAATGTGAAGTTGCTTTGGCCGATCATGTAAGTTTTGGAATGGCGGTAATGATCATCTTCCCCAATGAGGAGACGAGTTACTTTCTCCCTGCAATGCCTCGGATACGGCTTGCATCGGCGGCTATCTCCTAGGCTAGTGGACAACCTGGCCAACGTAGCAAAGCAAGATCAACCAATCTTCATCGAGTATCATTTCCCCCATCCCTCTTTTAGCGGTATTGCAATAATATGAGATTTAAGGCTGCATCAGCTGAGAAGTGGCGGGCGGCTCCTGCGCGATTTTACGTGGCACGTACTAATTTCTTACTGCATAAAATACCTCCCAAAAATCAACTGCGCTATCAATGACAAAAAGAAAACAAGTTGGCCAATTAGTCAACGGGCCCGTTATCCGCCTGTCTCGTTGACTAGGTATTGATGGTGGCGGCTCAGCCCGTGTCCCCCAAAGCATCCGCAGAACCCTAAATGCGGTATTGTATACATCACTGGGTAATCAACTTGAGTTCGTCATAAGCCAGCAACTTATCCGCACAAAATCAACATTTATTGAATATTTATCAAATACCTGGCTTATATTTCAGTGGTCGAGTCGGGCCTGGTGATTTGACTAACGACCGCCGAAACTAAGAAAGTGTTTCACAATGGAGGCGATCTGCAATGAAGACAAAATATCCGACATCTTGGGTGAAGCGCTCGAGTTTCAAGAGGAATACAACAATAAGAAGTACGATGAGCCCGAAAATCGCGAGGGGAGGTTGCAGGACCTCAAAAGAAGCATTGAACTTTTTCAGCAAGTCATAGCGCAGACCACAAAACAGGACAGATGCCACTTGCTCGGCTTGGGACATCTCGGTGAATCGTACCTTGACATGTTCAACGAAACAGGAGACCCAATGCATGCTTCCGAGTCCATTGCGAAACATCAAGTTGCATTGGAATTGACTCCCGATGACGATATTGGACTGCTCGGTACTCTCAAACAAATCGACAAGGCGTACCATGATAGATTCATGGCATTAAAAGAAGCGGCTGACCGTGACTCTGCAATCAAGTACTGGGAGGCCTTCATTGCCAGTGCTGAGTCAGCTTTGGAGGGGGGGAATGCACCCAAGGAAACGGGACTTTTCGAACCTGAATGGATAGGATGGCTTGGTTTTCTTGGAGACCTCTATTACAAGCAATACCTCTGTCATGGCTCCTTGGACGACCTTGATAGGGCCATCATTCTTATGCAGAAGGCAGCTGAGCAAGAGCAATCTAAATCAGCTAAAGGAGTCCGGAAGCTCCGTCTAGGAGTTGTGTATGGAAACATGCACCAAGAAACTGGGAGCATGGAGCACCTGAAGGAATGTATCAGCCTGTACGAAGAGGCACATTCTCTACTCCCATCTGATCATCCAGATGTACCAGTGCTCATGAAATGTCTCAGCACTGCATATCGGGACCGAAGCAGTAAAACCGGTTCGATAGAGGATCTTGATCTATCTATCCAACGTATTGAAACATCAGTAGGCATTCCTTCTGGAAATGACTTCGATCGGGCGGTGCGACTGGGGCATCTTGGTACCGTCCATGAAGATAAGTTCAGGCAGCTTAACCATCTGGACGATCTCAAGAAGTCCATTCAATACAAAACTGAAGCCTTGGACTTGGTTCAAAAAGATGGTCAACAACGAGCCCACATGGTCTCTAGCCTGGCCAACTCTTACGCAACTCGGTTTTCTGGTGAGGGGCGTGAGAGAGATCTCGGATACCTAGACAAATCAATTGAGCTCAACCATGAAGCCTTGCGTCTTGCCTCGACAACAGATTGGTCATACATCTGCTACAACCTTGGGATGAACTATCATCATAGGTTTAAGCACAGGTACGAAAAGTTCTTGGGCCGATCGGACACACCGGAATTACTTGAAAAGATCGACATGACAGATCTTAATCACTCGATTCAATTAAAGGAGCACGCACTGCGTGAGACACCACATAAGCACCCATCGCTCTCCACCCGTCTCAGCGGCCTCGGGGAAGGGTATGAGCTACTGTATTACATCAGTGACGAAGAGATGCACTGGGAGAAATCTCTTGATTGTTGGGAAAAGGCCCTCGCTTACGACTACGGTTCTACTGGTGATCGCCTCGAAGCAGGTCTATATCTAATGGACAACTATATATGCGATCATCCTCCACGCTGGGATGAAGCCTACGAAGCTGCATCGAAAACAATGGCCATTATCTCTCTTCTCACATCGCCATCGCTACAGAGTTCCGACAAGCTTCGCCTGCTCGAGAGAGCATCAGTTGTAGGGCCCCAGCTTGCCGCGATCGCCCTAAACTGCGGCAAGCCGGCGCTCGAGGCAGTTCAGCATCTAGAGCAAGGGCGAGGGCTTATTTCAAAGTTTAAGAACGAACTGCGGGAGACGGAAACCCGCCTCCGAGAAACGCGCCCAAATCTTGCAGACAAGCTCGCTGCTCTCCGATTGCAGACTGAAGGCCCGTCGCAAGGCCAGGGGAACCCTCGCCATGAGGCAGGGGAGAAGCTAGAAGCCCTGAGAGCAGAGATTGGCAACATTCCTGGCTTTACGCCGGGCGAATCGGCCTTGTCCGAAGACGATCTCAGAGTTGCTGCAGAACGGGGCCCCATTATCATCCTAAACATGACTACATTCCAATGCGACGCTCTGATCGTCGATAAAAGAGGGGCTAAGGCGTTGCCTCTCCTCCGAGGCCCTCCGTTAGAGGAGTATAGAAGATCTGACGCCAGGAGATTTGAGGAACTGGAAAGACACGCCATGCATGCAACTCTCCAGTCGCTTGAGTACATCTGGAAGAATATAGCGCAACCGGTTCTCCATGAATTAGGTTTCACCGAGACCCCCTCAGATGATAACTGGCCCCATGTTTGGTGGATTCCTACAGGCGCCCTTTCCAATTTCCCTATTCACGCCGCTGGGATTTACTCGCAGTCACTATGTGATGGAGTGCTGGATCGGGTAATTTCGTCCTACACTAGCACCATTTACATGTTACTTCGGATACGCTCTCGCCCTTGCGCAACATTTGAAGAACCAAGCCAAAAGAGTGTTGTCTTAGTGGCTATGGAAGAAACACCTGATCATGCTAGATTAAGATTTGTTTCACAGGAAGTTGCTCAATTGGAAAAGGTTTTCAGTGACGCCAAGTTTCTCGTCAGTAAACCTCAGCCAACACATGAGAGCGTGTTGGCAGCCTTAGGTCATTGGAAGATTTTCCATTTCGCGGGCCACGGGGAGAGTCACCATAGCCAGCCTATGGAAAGTAAGCTCCTATTGAAGGATTGGAAATCGAACCCTTTAACAGTCTCACAACTTTGTGAGACGAACCTTTCCAGCCAAGCACCATTTCTAGCCTATCTGTCAGCTTGCAAGACAGGGCACATGCATCATGGGCGAGGAGAAAGGCTTCATATCATTGGGGCCTGTCAACTTGCGGGGTTCCGACATGTCATTGGCACATTGTGGGAAGTTCAAGATGAGACGAGCGCTACTGTTGCGGTTAAGACATATGAGTGGATGCTAAAAAGGGGGCTGGATGATCGCTCAGTCAGCGAGGGCCTGCATCACACAATCAGGGATCTTCGAAAGGGATGGACCAATTCCAACCGCTCAACTAGGAACACAATGGTGCCGGTGAGGGGGATAAAATCAACTCAGGCTCAGAGAACTGTGAAGCCGGAATCTGGGCGAAAACCGACACCATACTGGGTCCCAATTATTCACTTTGGAGTTTAACAGACAGTCGAGTGTGTTCATCAACTCAGCCCATACTTCTTCTATGAATCACTTTATTCAAATATGAAATTATTGGGTTCTCAGATGAGTTTAATCCCGTATTTCCTCTTTTGATATTACATTCAAGTGTGAACTACCCGATTTGATGCCAGCGCATCCGTAATTTCATTGTCTGAACACCACTCGCATTACGAGGATCGGCAATTCATAAGTACATTGTTGTCGAAGAAACATATGCACTGTTTTAGTTGATATACAAGATAGCCCGGGATGGAAGATGTGCTCGAAAGAACCACCTCCCCTTCAACTTGTCCCAAATCAAAACTGGACCACTAATTGCAATGCCAATACGAACTTGCTGATTGAGGTCTTATAAAATAGATACCTAAAGCTAAGGCTATCTTTAGAAGCTTCCTTCAGACGATGCTTACAATGTCGTGGCCCTTGACGAGCTGAGTTCAATGAGCTGGAACTCGCAGACGAAGACGTCGACTGATCTCTACACTCTCTCATCAAGGCAACTATTTGAGAAAACAAAGTGTTAGAGCTTCCTTGTCTATCGAGGCATTGTGAGTCGGGCAGTTCTTACATCGTATTCCTCACCCTGCCGGCAATCCGAGCTGCAAAAGAAGTACGACCCGCCCCTAGAGGAACCATCGTCGTACTCCCATTCCAAGTACAATTTGAACGCCAAGTATCCTTTATCCATCCAGTATCCACAGCCATGGCAATCGAGACCCTGATAACCTCTGATCTTCTCGCGAGAACGCTTCCTGCATGTAACCTCAAGGTCTTTGTCCATTTTTTTCCTCGCTAGTTGTTTCTAAACTCAGCGGTGTCAGTCTCAACACTAAATGCATGTAAGAAAATATTTAACCTTAGAAATCAATAAAATTACGTGAAATCTACGCTAGAGGTAAAAACTCTTGACCTTTGAGTTCGTTGTGCTGAGGGGTTGGTGAATAATTAATGCACACGAACAATAGAAAAGGGTGGGATGGAAGGCCATTGTAAAGCTAGTGCGTCTTTAATTAGACTACAATAAAAATAATCGGAGTATAATTATAGAAAAGCGCTTAGGTGCATACTCAGCCGCGGCCTGGTTTCAACCGTTAAGGCATTCAACGCGCGGATCGTTCAGCTCTTCATAGGTTGGCCGCTCTGTAACTATAGTTATATATTTATAAATATTTACTAATCTATCTTTTTTATAGAGTTTCTTTTAAACTTCTTTTTTTAATCTATTAAAATAATAAGATATAATATACTTATAGTTCTATCTAGTTTTTATTAAAAACTAGAGATATTTACTACTAAAAATAGAGATAGATTTAGTTTAAAAGAGTTTATTAATTTTATATTTAGCTTTATATTTCTTATTTTAAATTCTAAAAATCTATTAAAGAGTTTTTATAAAATAGTTAAAACTTATTATAATATTAATAGTTTATTAGTTTTTTTAATTATTAAGATATTCTCTTATAATAAGTTTAAACTAATTAAATATAGTTTTCTTAAGTTATAAATAGATATAAATAAGTTATTATTTATTACTATTAAAAATAATAAAAAAATAATTAAAATATATTTAAAGTTAAATTATAAATCTTTAAAATTTATTTTAAATTCTATTAAATATTTTAAATAATAATAATTTAAATAATATTTCTAATTCTCTTTTCTAAGCTATAGTTTAAGTTTAAATCTAAAGATTAGTATTCTAAATAACTTATTATTCTATAAGAATAATAGTAATAACTATTTCCTACTATATAATTATAAAGTATTTCTAGAGCTAAAGAACTTAAATTTATAGAAACTTAATTTTAATATTATTATTTTTATTATTATTACTATTATTACTATCTTTATCTATAGTATTATTATTATTTAGAGTAGATAGATTATTAGTAATAGAGTTCTACTACTAAGCTAGTAGAACTATAATAGTTATAATATCTTCTTTATTATTATATAGTAATTAAAATAAGATAATTAGCTAAATAAAAGTTATTAATATATAATAGTTAGTACTATATAAAACTATATTTAGTTATTATTAGTATATAGTAACTTTATAATTAGCTATTATAATTTTCTTTAAATAATCTATAGTAGTATTTAACTAATCTACTATATTCTAAATACTATCTTATTAATCTTTTTAATTTAATTTTTCTATCTAATAAACTTTTTAATAATTTAATTCTATTTAATTCTCTTTTACCTATCTAATAATACTAATAAAAATAGACTTTTATTTAACTTTAAAAGCTACTTTAGTCCTAATTAACTTAACTTAGTATATTATATACTAGAACTATAGGTTATAAGTTAGATTATAATAATATTTAAATACTAGAGGAATATTATTATAGTTCTTTCTAAGTAGTCTATTTTAAACTGGGTTTATTAATATTACCTAGCTAGCTCGGAGATAAAGTAATAGTTCCAGTAGGTATAGCTATTAGGCTTATATAGTTAAGAGCAGCTTTATTACTATAAGAAAGCCTGTAATAGAGTATAAGCTTAGATAATTATATTAAATATTAAAAAGGAGATCTTAAGAATTATTACTAATAACTATTATTATATATATAAGAACCTGGTTACTTATAATAACCAGGCCCTAATTACTAGGGATAATAATATTAGAGGTATCTATTATTATAATTATAAGAAGAGATAGTTAGTAATTAGTAATAATAAGATATTTTTCTTATAATCTATAAAATATAGTTTATCTTAGATAATAACTACTATAATTATTTTAGCTTAAGAGAGATATTATAATTAATTATAGATAATAAGTATTCCTCCTTAGGGTCTATAGCTAAGTTATATACTTAATAAGCCCTTCTTAGAGTTTTTAGAGATATTATTATCTATATTTTAGCTAGCTATATAATAAAAAGTTAAAAAAAATAGAGTTAAAGGTTAGATATAGATTAGAAATTTAATTAAAAATAAATTATATAGATCTAGTTATATATAGCCTGATCTTAGGATATCCCTTATATATAGTAAAAACCTTAAAAAAAAAAAATATATAATAGTTAGTTAATTTATACTAAATAGAGTTTAAAGTAAATTAGAATTAAACTAATTAGAGTATTATTCTAAATAGTATAATTAAATTTTTATTAGCTATATAATATAAATTACTATTTATTATATAGTATAATTAAGTATATATAAATAGATATTAGATTAATATTAAATCTATATTATTTCTAATAAAAATTTCCTATAATAGTAAATATATATTATACTTATAGAGATAAATTAATTTATAATCTTAAAAGTAACTAACTTTTTTATTTCTAAATATATATAATTCTAGATTAAACTAAAATAAACTCTAATATATCTTAATTTAAACTATATTATTCTAAAATAGAAAAAGCTTAGTTTTAATTAATTCTTAAAAGCTATCTCTACTCTAATTAGTTTAAGAAAACCTCAGATTATAATATATATAAATAAGTAGATAGCTATTATTAAGATATAGCTTTTAATTTAATTATATCTTATTTACTTTAAGTACTAATAATATAGAGTAGCTAAAGACTATATAATATAAGAATAGATCTAGTAGATATAACTACTAGATCTAGAATATTATTAGTAGCTTTATTACTATAAGTAAGCTTTTAATTATTTAGAGAGATATATATTAGATATACTTAATTAAGAGCTATATACTATTATCTCTTATAATCTCTATTATCTTATTAAGATCTATATTATTTATAGTAACTAAAGCTTTATAAATAGAGATAATTATAGAAGATAATATATTATAAATACTTAGTATTAATAGTAAGATATAATTAATTAATTAATTAATTAAAATAAGCTTTAAGTTAAAAAGAAAAAATAGTTATTATTATTAAATAATAAGCTTCTCTCTTTAGAAGCTATAATTATAGCTAGATTATTTATATATCTAGCTATATAAATAGCTCCTATTATTAAAGTTTTTAAGATATTAATATCTATATTCAGACTAAAAGTATTTAATTTTAACTTTATCTTATAGTATTAAAGATTTAGATATAAACTACTAATTATATTCTTAGAAAAATTATATAATCTAGTTATATATTATCTAATCTTAGAATATACTTTTATTTATAGTAAAACTAATAAAAAAAAATAAGTTACTATTAATATATAAGTATTATAGAGCTAGTAATAATAGATATATAGATAATATTATTAATAACTATTTAAAGAAAAGTTCTATTTAATAAAAGAAATATATATATATATAGTAGTAGATTATTAATACTTAGTAATAATCTAGTATTCTAGATTATTAGAATTATTATAAGATCCTAATAATCTATTACTAATTAGTTAGAAAAAGTAGGGTCTACTATATAACTCAGTATATAACAATATAATTTATAACAGACAGCAGATAGGGATTGAGGATATCTACCTAATGCTAGTAGCGGTAGGCGATGGAGAGATGAGGCTTCTAACTGTAAGTCCCATGGTTGTAAGATATACTAAGTGATGAGAAAGGGAGTCTCGCGGCCACTGTCTGCCCAAGGACTAAGCAAACTCCTATCACGGCGCCAGGAGAACCCCTATCCTACAGAAGAAGCCAGCTGAGATATAGCCCGGAGCTAACGAGATAATAGATCAGCGGCATGTCTGGTGATATTTCATGCCGGAGGTAGCTATATCAGGGATAGGCAGCTCAGCAATTAGCTAATACTCTCCTCTCTTTCTACTTAATTAACCCCTCTTTTATTTTAATAAGAAATTATAGTATAGTACAGTAGTAATTAAGAGCTAGTATATAGCCGGGCTAATATCTTAGTAATAAAGATATAGCTACTCAGTTAACTATCTATTAGTTAAAAAGTATATATTCTTAGTAGTAACTTAGCTCTATACTAATATAGATAAGGTTATTCTGTAACTATAGTAAATTATTTACTTAGAATACTATATTATAGCCTGCTTAAGGTACTTTTATATAATTT